AGGGTTTCCGAGGGTGTAAATCTTTACGGGAGTAGAAAGCCTCATCTTTCTCCCGCGGAGCGGCTGGTAGTTTTGAACCGCTGACCTTAAGGTTCTCAACCCGATTCGTAAACACTACGCTACAATAGATGTGTATATATGTATGTATGCATTTATGTGTCCTACTGAGATACAAGAGTATGGAAGAGGAAATTGGTACAAGAGTATTTACCTTTCCTTCAAACACCTGTAAATGTGGTGGTACATACAGCTGGAAAAATGATGAAAACTAGATGCTATAAAATGTTTTAAGGCAATAAGTAACTGAGCCAGGGGCTTTATGACCACAGTCTCAGGGAACACCATGGTAATTGGCACAGCATAGTACACAGAGACCATGTTCTACATCCTATTTTCATGAGTAGTGTATGGGATATTAAAAACTCATGAGTGGCCATTAAGGTGCAGCTGTTGTTCTCTCCATGTGCAGAAGAAAGAAGAGTGTTGAGAATTGAAGACACATGGAATCAACTTGTCCAACAGACTAATGGAGCATGTGAAAATCAGTATCTCAATGACCCTGAGTCCAGAAGAACCATATTGCACCCAGCTACCACTACAAACTGCTCTGAAAGGGATCACATTAAAAGGTCCTGGATAGAGCGGCATAATGTGTGGAACAGAACTCAATAATATATTTTTTGAGTTTTTTAAATGACCAGGTTTATTGATCATTAAGACACTGGAGGAACCAGAAACTGTGGCCCCATACTTGAAGTCTGGAAAAGAACACACCTCCTTTCAGTCAAGCAGTAGATTGGTATATAGGGGGTATGACTTTTAGCCAAGCAGAATATAGGTATATAGGAGGAACAGGACTAGTAAGATACTCCCACTATAGAAGATGAAACAGTCATTTAAAATAAAAGTGGCAACATGTACTTAAGGACAATTACCAGAAAATATAAGGAGCTCTGGTAGCGTAGTGGTTACGAATCGGGCTGTGAACCACAAGGTCAGCAGTTTGAAACTACCAGCGGTTCCGCCGGAGAAAGATGAGATTTTCTGCTCCCGTAAAGATTTATAGCCTCAGAAACCCTGTGCAGGGTCGCTATGAGTCGGAACCGACTCCACAGCACTTAACAACAACAACAACAATGAGAAGATGGGTGGAAGGGAAACAGGAGTCACAGGGAGGAAGTGGATGACTTATTCCATGGAAGGGTTTGCAATTATTGAGATGAATCAAAGTGTATTACTTTTTGAATTTAAAACTAATGATCTTGTCTGCAAATCTTCACTCAATTCACAATAAAAAAAAAATGGGGGGGGGGATAGTAGAACCAAGAAAGCCTTATAGATCACTTTTACTCTGTCACATGTGGTCACTACGAGTTTAAATTTCATTTGAAAACACCCAACAGCAAACCATTTCCTGAAGCAGCACTGAAAATGAAGTATAAAGTTGCTCTGATGCTTTTGTGGAGAAATTAAAAGCAAGACACTCCTTTGCTTGTGTAAATGTACAGAACAGAACAGTATCAACAAAAATCCCTTACTCAACCTAGGAGCATACTTACTGCTTTATTTCTCTTATTTCTAGATCTCAATGCAAGAAACATTTCCATGATTTGGATAGAAGGTATGTCCTCCCCTTTCAAGCCCCAAGTATTTCACTTACTAGATAGGTGACCTTAATAAACGCTTCTCTCTGGGCCTTGCTTACTCTACCTGCATTATGTACAGATTGAATTAGATTATTTCTAATGGCCCTTATCAGATAATTAAACCAAAATTATGAATCTTTTGGTCTTTTCCTATTTCTATCTGCAGGCAGCTCGCATAATCCCATGGTCAGACTTTGGAAAATCCTAAATATTACTGTATATGTGATAAGCACTGGACTGCTAACCATAAAGTCAGTGGTTCAAACTCACAAGCTGCTCCTTGAAAACCCTATATAGCGTCACTAGGAATTGGAAGAGACTCGACAAATCTTACCAGCAACAGCAACAGCAACAACAAACCATTTTTCACATACAGTACATAATTAAATTTGCTCTAAAGTATACAACATGATTGCTGTTGTTGTTAAGTGCTATTGAGTCAGTTTCTACATAGCAACACTGTATAGGGTTTTCAAGGAGTGACTGGTGAGCTCAAGCCATTGACCTTGCGATTCAGTGCTTATCCTACAGGGCATACTGACTTTGTGGTCTAGTGCTGCTTAGCTTACAAAACTACAGTAACTTTTATTACATATATTATTAGTCCTGGCGTGTCACTGGGCATTAATGCACTGAACTGCAAAGTTGGTTTGAACCGTGTAAGATCAGTAGTTCAAGCTCACCAACCACTCCTCAGAAACTATACAGAGGGCCGTTATGTATCGTAGCCAACTCGACGGCACTTAACAACATATGTATATGGTGGTGGTGGAGGTTATGTGCTGTGTGGTCTGTTCTGACTCATAGTGATACTGTACAGGACTTACAAGGCTGTAAATCTTTACAGAAGCAGAAAGCCTCATATTTCTCTGCAGAACAGCTGGTAGTTTTGAACTGCTGACCTTGAGGTTAGCAGCCTGATTCATAACCACTATACTACCAGAGCTTCTTAACACTCTGGGTGTGGCTCTATATGATCAGCACTGGACTGCGAACCACAAGATCAGCAGTTCAAACCTACTAACCACTCCTCAGAAACGTTATGCAGAGTTACCGTGAGTTGGAACAAATTCAATAATTCAATGACACTTAACTATATATATATATACATAATTAATGGTGTTGGTGGCCTTCTTTTGCTGGTTCCACCCAAAAAGTTCCATGTGAGTTTTTATAATACTGACATATTCATGGCACCACACTAGCACAGAATTCCTCTTGAAGGGACTATTAGTCTATACTGAGTTTAGCTTCTGAAGAAACTAAACTTTTTAAGGTTAATGTGGAATGGGACCAAAAGTCAAAGAAGAGAAAAAGTTTAGGATGACTAGCTATTGTTACAGGATAGGGAAAACATATTCTCAAGCCTTAAAAATATCTAGGACTATAGCCTGCTGACTTAAGGAGACAGGATCATTTTCTAAGAGTTGGGGACCAAGGTTGGAAGCCAAGACTCAATTTGTGAGGTGTCAGACAAAAAAGAGGCAAGGTGATCTAAAAACTGAGGTTGGATTTCCACACTTGAAATTAGAAATGAGTTAGCACTATTCAGTGTAGCCACAGATTGATGCAAGACAAATTTGCAGATAAAGGAAACAGCCAGAGATTACAGTATATGCCCACTCTTTGATTATAGTGTGGAAAATAGACTGAATCTTTCAGAACACCATTGGCCCCATGACACATCTTAGAGAATCTGGGAGGACAGTGTTAGGTCAATTCCATGGTTCCCTAATTGATTCACTGGGTGACTTTGGAACAGTTTCTATGAGTTTGTGCTTCCACATCTGTAAACAGATCACTTTTAATCCTAATATCCTATTCCTCTGTAAGAGTAAAAAGAAGAGCTTATGGTTAGTTAATCAAGTAGTTAACCATTATATTCTCCCCCTCCCTTTGTTTTGAACAGGTGACATAAAGCCACATTTTGCCTTGATGAATATATTGAAATATTCAAGATGATTAGCAACAGCACCAGCAATGCTGAAATTAGCTGCAATTTCCTTAATGCGACATTTCAATATTCACTCTATGCAACCACTTATATCCTCATATTCATCCCTGGTCTTCTGGCCAACAGTGTGGCTTTGTGGGTTCTGTACCGCTTCATCAGCAAGAAAAATAAGGCCATCATTTTCATGATCAATCTCTCTGTAGCTGATCTTGCTCATGTCCTGTCCTTGCCCCTCCGAATTTACTATTACATCACCCACCACTGGCCTTTCCAAAGAGCCCTTTGTTTGCTGTGTTTCTACCTGAAGTATCTCAACATGTATGCCAGCATTTGCTTCCTCACGTGCATCAGTCTCCAGAGGTGTTTCTTTCTCCTGAAGCCCTTCAAGGCCAGAGACTGGAAGCGTAGGTATGACGTGGGCATTAGTGCTGCCATCTGGGTCATTGTGGGAACTGCTTGTTTGCCATTTCCTATTCTGAGAAATTCTGACTTAACCAACAAATCTGACTACTGCTTTGCTGATCTTGGTTACCAGAAAATGAATGCAGTGGCTTTAGTCGGAATGATTACAGTTGCTGAACTGGCAGGATTTGTAATCCCAGTTGTCATCATTGCATGGTGTACCTGGAAAACAACTATATCCTTGAGACAGCCACCAGTAGCTTTCCAAGGAATCAGTGAAAGGCAGAAAGCTCTACGGATGGTTTTCACGTGTGCTGCAGTCTTCTTCATCTGCTTCACTCCATATCATATTAACTTTATTTTTTACACCATGGTAAAGGAAAGCATCATTAGCAGTTGTTTTATTGTTCAAAGTACACAGTATTTCCATCCATTTTGTCTGTGTCTTGCAAGTCTATGCTGTCTTTTAGATCCAATTCTCTATTACTTTATGGCCTCAGAATTTCGTGACCAACTATTCCTCCATGGCAGCTCTGTGATACGCTCCCGCCTCATGAGCAGAGAGAGTGGTTCATCAATGATTAACTAAAAATAAAATAATTTCTCAATTATTACTTTTTTACTCACATTCATTGGCTTGTGCCTAGGGCCAGAAAAACTAGCCAGACAATTTCTTTAGTTGAACATTTGAAACAACAAAAATAGGTGTCTTCTTATGTGATAGTTGTGGTCACAACGGTGTTATAATGAGTGCAATGTGTGGAGAATGTGGGAAAGGAAGGGAAGATGGGATTTGCTTGCTTTCTCTCTTGAAATTCAAGGCCTTTTCTTATTAAACAGATATATTTTTTTTTTACAAATGTTTCCTATGAAGTAAAAATGAGATACATAATTTTAAACATTTTCCAATAAATTTATTATTGCTAAGAAGGTACAATAAATACATGAATCTTTTCCAGCATATAAAAATAAGTTAATCTCTCTTCCATATGAAGACATTTCTGAAATAGTTTTTTTAAAAAATAAAATCTATAGTATTTCTAAGGGATACATGCATAGATAAAGGGGAATAAGGATTTAAAGCAAATGTGCACATGAATTTCAGGATCTCAATTCTGTTGCTGCAGAAAGGGTATGGGAATGTGTTCATTTGTTTAAAATGTATGTCAATTGTGTTCTGAGTTGCCATTGTACAAGGTAAATTCACATATATAATCTCATTTGGCCCCTCTAATAAATGTGTGGGAATTTCTATTGCAAATTAACACATGAAACATCAGATAGGTTAAACACCTTGCTTTGGAATAAGCAGTTGTGAACCAAAGTTTGTCCTGCATACACTAAATTGTTCCCTCCTTTTTTGTTACTATGATTTGTATGTCAATATTAAATAGAATGGTGAAGACATATACTACAAGTAGGCAAAATTTTAATACAATTTTCTTGAATAGTCTGTGTATTGTGTCGTGTCAGTTTTGAAGAACAAATGATAAATACTCGTGCTATGCTAATACTGTCTCAATATATTGAGTCCTGCTGTTATAGATTAAAATAACCTGAAAGAGTTTATTATTTCTCAAAAACAGAATTTAAGGTTTAGTTCATGACATACAGTCCTTATAAATGGATGAAAAAAAGAAATTAAGAAAGCTAAGAGATGAACATTTTGTAAAATTTAGATTTTCTAAGCTATACAATACACTTTCTTTTAAAATTTTACTCTACCTTTGTTTATTAAAACTGTAAACAAATCTGGATGGTTTGTGCTTATTTTAAAGAAAAAAAAAAAACACTTTTCTGTCAGCAGAGCTCAGAAAATGGAATTAGAAGCATAAAAAAAATCACATTATTAGGGGTATGAGAAAAGTATGTGTCCTAATTGTGGAATTTTTCTTATCTTTTATTTACAGAGATTATGGCCATTGTTTTATAGTCATAGGTTGTTTTGAATACTAGTGATCCTCAACTTCTCAGGTTGACATTCATGAAGCTCAATAAATATTTTTCATCTTTTATACATGCAGTTTTAAAAACATAGATACTTGATATGTAGCCAAACATAGATTGGCTATAGACTGGAAAGAGGGACGGGAAAAAAGGACACGATTTCTGGGAAGGGAAAAAGTTCTGTAGCTATAAAAGTGGTTTTCTTGTGCTTTCTTTTTAAATCTGGATGTGAAGGAAATATCTAAGAATAATTTTTAGATGCACATGGAATTAATGGCAGATTAATGACTGTGTAGACAACCCCCACCCTTAATGAGATGACTTTGAAAAATACTCATTTGGAACTATGCATCCTGCTATGTTTGTAGATAAAAGGAGCCTCAGTTCTCAATAATCCCTCTCAGATGTTCACCTTGCAAGCAGTTGGCAAGAGTTAGGGTTTGCTGTTTTAGACCTTAGCATAAGTAACTCCATCTAGGGGCTAGTATAGACAGGTTAAAATCATAAATTCCTAATATGATAAGAAAGAAAAGGATAACACTATTCAAGCATGAGATAATTGACTATTAAATTTTAAAGGCCTTACCAATTATCAATGAGACTGCTTTAAGGTATTACAAAATTGAAGAGCTACCTCTATGGTTGCCATAGGAAGGTAATGCGAAACAAAGATAGCAAATTATATACACTTGAATTGATTTTTTTTAAGTCACTAAAAACCCTCAAATTTCTTATGGAAGACACCTGTCAAAGTCCACCTTAGAAATTTTTCAGAATCCTATACCTCTGTTCAAAGATTTTTTTAACTTCTGATTTTTGTGGTGTACCATGGAGTCAGTTCTGACGTATAGCAACCCTGTATAGGGTTTCCAAGCTGTAAATCTTTCCTGGAGCAGAAACTCTGATCTTTCTCCCATGGAACAGCTGGTAGTTTCAAACTGCTGACCTTGAGGTTTGCAGCCCAACTCGTAACCACTAGTTTTGGTAAAAATGGGAAGAAATTTTGAATAATATAAGAATTATAGTAACTTATATGGCAAATGCAGTTTATATGTGATTGGACATGCTGCTTACCTTTAGAAAGTTTATATAGCTATACATCATATAATATAATATAAGTAGATCTGGTAGTGTAGAGGTTATGAGTTGTGCTGTTAACCTCAAGGTAAGCAGTTCTAAACTACCAGCCATTACATGGGAGAAAGATGAGACTTTCTGCTCCTGTAAATATTTACAGCCTTGGAAATCCTATGCAGTATCGCTATGAGTAGGAACCAACTCAACAGAACACTACCACCACTAATAATACAGTTATAACATTCGTTATTGATTAGATTATTTTTGTGGAGTGTGTTTTCATTTTTGTAAAAATAGTGAGCAGGAGACTCTTGTTTAAAAATATACCTCCCTATTATAAAAATTAAGGAGTTCTGGTAGCGTAGTGGTTACGAATCTGTCTGCTAGCTACAAGGTCAACAGTTTGAAACTACCAGCCGCTCCGCTGGAGAAAGATGAGGCGGTCTGCTCCCGTAAAGATTTACAGCCTCGGAAACCCTGTGTAGGGTTGCTATGAGTTGGAACCGACTCCATGGCACATAACAACAACAACAATAATAACAATTATAAAAATTGGGGAACATGGTGGCTCTGTAGGAAAAGTAATTGATTGTAAATCACAATGTCACTAGTTAGAACCCACCAGTATCACCTTTGTAGAAAGATGAATCCTTCTGCTCCTGCAAAGATTCACAGCTTAAGAATGCCTATATAAGGATGCTTGGAGTTGGAACCAGCTCAAAGACACTTAACAACAACAACATTATGAAATTGGACTCCTGGTGTATAAGCAATGAATTGCTAAGCTCAAGATTGGAAGTTCAAGCCCACCAGCCGCTCCTCAGAAACCCTATAAAGTGTCACTGTGAGTCAGAACTGACTCAGTGACACTTAAATATAACAACAAAATTTATAAATTTGTTTCTATAAGAAAATTAGTGTCCTTTGCAAAAGTAAACAACTGCCAGAAACTTGGAGAATACCACAAGACTTCTGTGTATCATTTCATTAAATATATCCTTCAAACCAGCCTTATTAATCTCTCAAGAATTCCCATTCTTGTTTACCCAAGAATTTTGCTCACCTTAAATTAACATATAGGTTAAATGTTTAACCTAAATTTTAATTTTTGTATTCCATTTGACTTGTTCTTCTGCACTACTGCATAACCTTTAAAGAATCAACAGAGCATTTGTTTATCACTTACTTTTAAAAGGCATATAAGAAAAAATAGCTTTGCAATAGACACAAGTTTCTCTAGAACTGACTGCCTGTTGGCAAATGTCTCTTTCGCTCTCATTCTTAATAAATAGTTTATTTCTTTGACCATCTTACTCTCATTCTGTTTAGCACTCCTTACACCTTTTTGTGTACTTTCCAGAATATAAACCACCTAAAAAAAATTGAGAATACTGATTGTAATATAAAAATGTAAACCACATCTCCATAGTTTTTATTCACTTTTTTTTTTTTTT